AGACATTTCACACACACACACACGCATGATGCCAAAATATAATGTTGGACTGGGAGTGTTTCAGAATGTGAGAAGAATTACATTGCTTTCGAAATGCCCACATTCCCACCTCGGCAGCAAAAGTAATTGTCCCCCACCCAAGCAAAAGAAAAAACTCCGTGGCCTGTAGTCCGCAAGCGAACCATACCGACCGAGTGACCGCTGCTTAACAGCGAAGTTAGTGCCAACTTTTTTCGGATATAGGGTGTCACGTGGTCAGCGTAACGGATCCCCACTGCCGTTAATCTCGGTTTTGTAGACCGGAGCCGCTGTTCCCTTGAAATAGCTCCTCAATTATCCTCTCGAGGCTGAGTGGACCACTTTCCAGACCCACTACATGTCAGAAAATCTGGTAGCGCTGAGAATTGAACCTGGGACCTCTGGATCTGTAGGCAGGAACTCTGACCACTATACCACAGAGGTGGTCAATTAATTTTCCCCGCTCTGGTAAATTCTCACATACCAGAAACCATTATTGTTTTCAGATAGGCTGTTATGTTATGGAGTCAAATTTTCTCCGTAACACAGACCGGCATTAAGGTACGTATATCCGATGAAATGTGCATACATGGCTACTGCATTCCTGTAGTGGAACATGCTCATGTAGAGGATACTGTTTAATGGCGTAACGATTTCTGTGGGAAAGTTCCCAAAGTATGGTAGTCACTGTAAGTTTATGTAACCAGGCAATCACACGAGTATAACCTTCAAATAGGCCACGGACACTTCCTATATTTGTTCAGCATAATTTTGGCATATTCTAAACATTTTTATTTTGTTTTATTGATTTTGAACAGCAAATAAAAAATTATATTAATCTGGAAATCGTTATGAATTGAGGTTCTCACGCCCGTGGTTATGAAGAATTCTGGGATATGCCGCCGTGTAGTCTGTTCAAAGTCAACGTTTCGGAGGAACGTTTCTCCTATATCTTCACGGTCGAAGAATAAACCAAGCAAGAAACCAGCGTGAATGAGGTAACAAGCAGAGCAGCGACAGAAAGAGGGGAATGACATGTTCCTTCGATATATCGATACGTCGGTTTACTTTCTTCGACTACAGAACACTGGAAATCGATAGTGTCCTTTTCTTTTCCAGGCGTATTTCAAGTGCAGGGCTTTCAGTATTCGATTTTATGTAAATGTATTCATTAATGTCTTTTACTTTGGAATTATAAATGAAGCTTCCCTCTCTTCATCCTTTCACGACCAAAAGTAAAACTAATGACCCAAATTCACATTCCAACTTTCAGTTACCTGTTTGGTGTAAAATTCTTTTGTACGTGTACTGCTAATTGCACTGACACCGAATAGTTGTGTGTGTGTGTGTGGCGTTGACACCAGATTCATATATTTTCTCAGGTACCCAGTTCGAATCTCCGCTAGCTTGCTTTCAATGCTAATTGAAGAAGTCACTCGTTTTCCCAGTCTCGAAGACTGGCACTAAGGTAATACGTCACAGTAGAAATTATATCAAAATCAAACGGAACGGTTCAAAAAAATGTAATGCCTCGAAGCAGTTCAAATACTTACTTAACAGAGGCTGTAAAGCTGTTTAGGTTCCTGTTGTCACCGTGCAGCCTGACAGGGACCTGCAACAGTGTGCAGAACTGCACTTTTCGTGACTGTACAGGAACATTCTATAGCTTACTGTAGGTGTAGAGAGGCTGTAAAGCTATTTAGGTTCCTGCTGTCACCGTACAGCCTGATAGGGACCTGCAACAGTGTGCAGAACTGCACTTTTCGTGACTGTACAGGAACATTTTATAGCTTACTGTAGGTGCAGAGAGGCTGTAAAGCTATTTAGGTTCCTTCTGTCACAGTACAGCCTGACAGGAACCTGCAACAGTGTGCAGAACTGCACTTTTCGTGACTGTACAGGAACATTTTATAGCTTACTGTGGGTGCAGGGAGGCTGTAAAGCTATTTAGGTTCCTGCTGCCACCGTACAGACTGACACGG